TTTTTTTTTTTTTTTTTTATATATGCTTCCAAAACTATCTTTCATCTGACAAGCAGTAACAGTACACAAAGCTACAAACCATAGACATTTGCTGTAAACTTTTCTCCACAACAAAGAAAACATAAACAATGAGATTTTCTTTCAACTGAAAAACACTACATGTGTGCCAACCTAGAACATTTTGGCCAAAAACACAATGCAAATGACATCTCTCTCTCTCTCTCTCTCTAAGAAATATTTACATAACATTTAAATTTTCCGAGACTTCAAACAAAATAATCCTCATATAGTCCCACAAATTCTTGTAATGATCGTGGTAAAACAAACTCAACCAAAAATCTAATGCGAATTGAAGGGTTAACCTCAACATAACTTTTTAGTCTAGGAATAATTGACATAGTACAAAGTCAAGGGGCCCTTCAAAGTATCATTTCCTATTTAATCCCTTTGAATTCTATATTCGAAGTTGCGATCGGATCTTGTTGGGAAAAATACGCTGAAATTTCCATGAAGTCGGATCAATAAAAGCGAAATAAAAATAAAAATTGGACACACCAAATTGATAACGGAGTTCGGTCAATACTACCTACGTCTCCGGACTACTGCAGATATTTTATTAGGAGAAAAGAAAAACACTCGTGTTTACAAAACACTCGCAAACTCACTCACAACTCACAACACAAATACACACAGAAGCTAAAACTTTCGCCTTTTGTTCTCTTTCTTTCTCTCTCTCTCTCTCTCTCTCTCTCTGTATTTTTGTTGTGTTTGGTTGTATTTCTAATGCTCTCATTTCCTCTCTATTTATAGCTGAGGAATAGATGAATTTCTCCACAAAGGCGTGCTGTTCAACAGCCACAATTTGACATTTGCTTCACATGTGCAGCATCCAAAGCTGAATCCTTCAGCAAATGTATTAAATATATTAGCAGCCTTTGTTGACTAAACTCAACAATCTCCCACTTGAGGACTGATTTCAATCTGTCCGCATAGCTTAATTACTACAGTAGTCTTCTCCAGTCTGTTATCCTAGCAGTCCAACTGAAGTTGAGCACAACTTCAGTTTGTCAATGGTCACCACCTTCGTTAGCATATCTTCTGGGTTCTTGCTTCCTACAATCTTCTTCAAAGTCAACACTTTATCCTCAAGCAGAGATCTGATGAAATGGTACCGTATGTCAATGTGCTTAGTTCTAGAGTGAAACACTGAGTTCTTTGCCAGATGTATTGCACTCTGACTGTCACTGTGCAAGACACTCTTCTTTTGTATGAAACTCAACTCTGCTAACAATCCTTGAAGCCATATCAATTCTTTACTGGCTTCTGTTACTGCTACATACTCAGTCTCTGTAGTGGATAGAGCAACAATCTTTTGTATCCGCGACATCCAACTAACAGTTGTAGCCCCGACAGTGAAAACATAACCAGTGGTGCTTCTTCGGTGATCAACTTCACCTCCAAAGTCTGCATCTACGTAGCCCTGTAACTTTAGATCTCCTTTTTTAAACTACAGGCACTTTTCTGTTGTGCCTCATAGATATCTCAAGATCCATTTGACTGCTTCCCAATGAGCTTTTCCTGGTTTTGACATAAACCTGCTCACAACTCCCACCATGGCCAATGTCTGGCCCCGTACAGACCATCGCGTACATCAAACTTCCAATGGCTGAAGCATAAGGAATCTTAGCCATAAACTCTTCTTCTTCCTTTTGATTTGATATGTCTGCTTTCTTTGTTTGAACTTCTTCCTCTCGACTCTGTATGAAATACAGAAGAGGTTGATGGTTCACCCGACTCCCTCCGCCGGATCTCTTCACTGAGAACCAAATTATGGACATCATCAAATCTCAACTTATTGCTTCTCGATGAGCTACTCACAGCTGTGACTGTAGCATTCCAGCTTTCTGGTAGGGAAGACAAAAGTATTAAAGCCCGTACTTCATCATCGAACTCGATCTCAACTGAACTCAACTGGGTTGTAACTGTGTTGAGTTCATTGAGATGATTTGCCACTTGAGCACCTTCGCTCATCCGCAGGTTGAACAATCGCCTCATCAAATGGACTTTATTTGAGGCTGATGGTTTCTCGTACATGTTGGAAAGAGCCTTCATGAGGCCTGCTGTCGTCTTTTCTTTTGCAATGTTAAAAGCAACATTACGGGATAACGTAAGCCAAATGGCTCCAAGGGCTTGTCTGTCAAGGAGACTCCATTCTTCCTCCTTCATGTCCTCTGGCTTCTTTCCTGTGAGTGGTTGATACATATTCTTCTGGTATAAATAATCCTCGATCTGCATCTTCCAAAAGCCAAAGTCTGCACCATCGAACTTTTCAATTTTCATTTTTCCTTCGTCTGCAGCCATCACTTCGTCTTTGATCTGACTTCTCTGCCGGATCGTTTCTGTAATTTTTGTGAACGACCGTGTTTCAGAACACGTAGGTAGATAAATTTGTAGCGCCGACAAATTTGACACTATTCACGTTTTTCATTATTCACATAATAGTAACCCACACAAAAAAAAAATACAGAATTAATTAACAATCTGGCTCTGATACCAGTTGTTGGAAAAAATTACCCGGTTGAAAAGGAGCAGATTTAAGAAAAAATTAGGACTATAATTTTAATAACATCACTCGTTAATATTTTGTTAGATAATAAGCAATATGTTATATAACATAATAACTTCTAAGTTCAAACATAATAATAATAATAAAATTCTATAAGATAATTAATTATAATTTACAATATAATAATTTCTAAATTCTAACTATAAGATAATAAATTTTAATTTTATAATATAATATCTAAATTCTAATATAATTTATATAATAAATAAAAATTTGATTATAAAACAAATAAGATAAACTCGTGTGGTCTAATTATATTACAATACTAAGTATAATTTCACTAATATATATTATAAACTCGT